GTCCCCTACAGGCTCCAGCGTTTTGAGAAAACCAACGAGATGCTGAGTAACTGCAATGCCCTCTCAGCCACGCGCTTTGCCCTGGCCCAGAAGGAGTTCAAGAAACACACGGCTCTCCTCGTCGACATGAAGAAGGACCTGGACAATATTTTTCGTCGGATCAGGACCATCAAGACCAAACTCTCCAATCAGTACCCAAGTGCCTTTAGTGGTGGTAATCCTCATTTGTTCATTAGTAATTATTATTGCTATAATTTATTATTATTATTATTATTATGCTGTTACTGTTATTGTTATTGTTAATATTATTATCATTATCATTATCGTTTTTATCATTATGATTATTTTGCGGAATGAATTTTGTTTGGTTTAGGTTTTTCTTTTTTTTCTTTTCTTTTCTTTTTATTACATATAATATATAGAACTATGTGTAGGGTGTAGATACTGTAGACCTCACTTGAGAGTTTGTGTTGAGGAAATGGTTTCTATTTAAGGCGTTGGATTAGCGAGGGCTGACAGGGCAGACTGAGAGGGACGGCTCTTGTGTATTTTTGTGATTTACTTTTATCTTTTTATGTCTTGCTTCAAGTTTTTTGGGAGAGGGAGAAGAGAAATCAATTTTTTCTCCTTTTTTTCTTTCTTCTCTTTGAAAGAAAAAAAGTACTTATTGATTTTTTTTTTATTGGTTCTTTTGTAAAATACGTGGGTTGTGTTTGCTAATGATGCTGGGAAGGCAGATGATTTTAGGGTTTCAATTCTCTCTCTCTCTCTCTCTCTATCTTATTCTTTCTCTCTCTGTCTTATTCTTTCTCTCTCTATCTTATTCTTTCTCTCTCTATCTTATTCTCTCTCTCTCTATCTTATTCTCTCTCTCTCTATCTTATTCTCTCTCTCTCTCTATCTTATTCTCTCTCTCTCTCTGTCTTATTCTCTCTCTCTCTCTCTCTCTCTCTCTCTCTCTCTCTCTCTCTCTCTCTCTCTCTCTCTCTCTCTCTCTCTCTCTCTCTCTCTCTCTCTCTCTCTCTCTCTCTCTCTCTCTCTCTCTCTCTCTCTCCTCTCTCTCTCTCTCCCCTCCCTCCCTCCCCTCATGAAGCATTAACAATTTTAAAGCAAGAACAGTTGAAGATTCATTTAAACTTGATGTTCACTTACTGCTGTTCATTACTTTGGAGATAATATTTCTGTGGAAGTACAGCCGACAGGCACAGATTGAAATATACAGTAAGAGAATCCTCACCTGTTTTCTTTAGGATGAAAAAGAGTCAGTGAGTACATCAGACTCTGGAAAGGTAGCCATGTTTGCCTGTTTGCCTTCCAACACCTGAAGTGGATGTGTAGATGTACCAGAGGTGAGGTCCAGGCTCTTCTCTCTATGCATGACACTTCCTTTGTGGTTGTAAACAGCTCTTCTCTTTTATTGGGGTTGAGGAAAAGATGTTTGTGTGGTGTGAATGTATCAATGTGAGATGTTTATTTACGTTTGTTTTTTATGTATTAATTTTTTTATTTTGTTGCTCCCTTTTTTCACCATGTACAGATATGTTCACTATAAAAGTTTGCCTCTTTTTTTTTCTTTGGTTGACATCCTGTTATTGTTGCCCAGAGTCTCTCACTCAGCTGAAGAGTCCGTGACCCATAGTATATAATATAAACTTTTGTGTTTGGGTATTGGTCGATATAGTATGAATTGCTTTAAAAACGTCAAAGAATACCCTGGAAAGTAATTATTAATGTTGTAAGGTAGTACCACCCTCTAAATGTTAATCAAATCTCAATCACAAATGACAGAAGAGCCCAGTGTTCTTGATTAAGATATGTGACTTAGAGTAGATTGATGTGAATAGATTCATCTTATTTGTATAAAAATAGTTATTCCCTTGCTTGAAGCTCCCATTTCCCTCTTAGTAGCTGTACTTAAAATTATCCTGAGTTGAGACCAGAGTACTAGCATTGCTAAATTTGACCCTCCCCCATTCATAAAATCAAAATCTGATAGAGATAAAATTTGAGGATAAGACTATGTTTTTTTTATTTTCTTTTGTTTTCTTTTTTTCTTGTGTGTGTGTATTTCTTCTTAAAGTACCATACATGTAAGGAAACCTGTGCAGATCTAAGGCCATTACCGTACCCTCACCGAACATAAATATACATGTGTGTAGAATTAAAAACCTGATCAGTGTTTCTTTAACCTCCCTCTTTCCCTCCCTCTCTCATCTACAGCTGCTCAAGAGGCTGTTTTCAAAGAGGAAGAAGAGGATGAGGAAGCAACATCTGCCAGCAAGGACCAAACATCTTCAGACTCTGCAGAGAATGATGCAAAGCGTGCCTCCGTCTCTGGGGAGAGTGGCCACTCCAGCAAGTCAGAGCGTGTTGAGGACATGGAGCAGTCGAGTGATGGTAGCAGAGCAGACACGGAAAGGCGCATGAAGAAAACGGCAAGCAGCTCCTCTGACAGCAGCAGTAGCGCAAAATTATCGAGCTCTTCCTCCTTCGATAATTAGATGACTAGAATGCTTGTATGTATAAATGTTTGTTAATTACATCTTTAATGTTGTTTCATCATATATATATACAAACATAGATACACTTACATACATGAGAGAATTTACAGATTTTATTCAAATGTATTTTGTACCTGATTAATATAATTTGATTGCAATATATAATAATATCAGCAATGACATATGTAAAGCTGTATATATAATAAAGAGTGTTTTCATATGTAGATGTGATGTTATTTTGCCCAATATTCTTAATTTACTTAGCTGTTTGGTTAATCATTCAAATAGAAATAAAATGGATGATAACTATATACAGTGTATCAGTATCTGAATATATGGATAGATAGATAGATAGGTATAGATATTTATATATAGTCAAAATTAGTGTAAAAAGTCAGTTTTCTCTTTCTTTCTTTTTCTTTTATTATCTTCATTTTGTTTATCTATTCATCAATTTATTAATTTTTACTAGTGGGATTAAAAGCTATACAGGCAACATACCCGAATCACTGGATTTTAGTGAATCTTAAAAACTTAAAAGGGAAATTATAACTGGCCAGTAATATATGAACTAGAACTATTAAAGTGGAGTCTCTCATTTATAAATATCTTGGTTCTTAGTTAATCAAATTTATAGATTGAAAGTGAGGGATGCTTTAAGGGTTTATCATTGTAAGAATATTTTGTTCATTGTGTGTGTGGCCTGATTAGTGGTAAACACTATGTGATATATATTCTTGTTCACACATGTACTTCAGATACTGATTTTATTCAACAGACATAAGTATATCTAGGTCTGTTTTCTCACACATATTAATATTTTATTTGAGTATTCTTATAAAAGGCATTAATGACAAAAACTGTTAAGAAGAATTTCTATTGTTTCAACCAAATACAGTGAATATAATGAAAATTCCTGTTGTGCATATCTTCAATATATTTAATTTTTCTTTCAAAGATTTATTTACATCCGCACACTGGATATTAAGCAGTGAACAGTACTGCTATTTCTGTTATTGAATCTAGCAAAATGCAAAAATGCTACAATTGCACTTTTTTTCATTACTTATCTATAGAAGTGTTTGTTTTACTTGTGTTCAAATTCTTGTATAATCCTTCAGTTGTTTACTGACTAGGAAGCATTTAAATACTCTAATGAGCAAATCACTTTTCCTGCTTTGAGTAGGAAGTTGCAAATGTACTACCATTTTTATACTTTTATATATATATATCTTACATAACTAGAAACTTCATGTGTATCATACTACGTGGGGAAAAAGAACCGCATCTCCCTTTCATACATTCACCTTTCAAAATGCCTAAAGCCTTAGCTTGGTGCTGTCGTATTGTACATTGGGTTTGACACGCCAGTCTCTGCAGCCTCAGCATTGGCGCTAATCTCAGCACTATTTGGGAGGTTCTCCTGGGACGACTTCCGCCCGTTAAGGTACATAGGAGCTCCCCTTCCTGTGTAGTAGCGTAATACTAGCCCTTGAGTCTTCCAGGTGTATATTACACCTGCTACAAGGGCAACTACCAACACTAGAAGAATCACACCTATGAGCCATGTGGCCACTGCTGTAGCTGATGTTACCCTGGATGCGGGAGGCGTCACCACCATGAAGAGCTATTGTGAGAGGGAAGAGGTGTGGGGAGGTCAAGATTTCACTAGATTACGTGTTTTAAGGTTTCCCTTTTTTCAAGAGCATTAGAAACTAAAATTTAGTAAATGGTTGTATTTGAAAACTTCAGTTCACCACTTTAAAATGCATTTAAGATGTCACAATAATTATAATTATAATATTTGGATCTAGATCTTTCTTCTTTTCTTTTCTTTTACATACATGAACACTACATTATCAACTAACCTGTGGGCTTCCACAAGATTCATGGAAGGGAGCAGCTGATGCATTAAGAGCCAGTCCATCAAACTTCCCAACATGGACTGTGTTTCTCTCAAGGGAAGTGTGGTTGTGGCACACCAAACCCTCCAGAGCATCAGGGTCAAATGATTTGATCACATTTTCGTCAAACTTCACATCTCCTGTCACGGCTATCTGTAATGATTGGAGGAAAATGCTTTAAAGTTGATAAGAATATACTAACTTAACAATTCCTCTCCCCCTTGTTACACATGGAAACCTACTAATTTCATCATACACATAAACAGGCATGGTTTTGCTTAATGGCATTTCAGTGTACTTTGCATATCAGGAACCTAATCCCAACAATAAATAGGATTCATATAGATATATATAGATAGATACATAGAATAGATAAGTAGATAATAAGTAGAAGTAATAGAAAATATATATATATATATTATATATATATTATATATAATATATATATATATATATATATTAATATATAATATATATATTAATATAAATGAACACTCATAGCTTATTCACCTTAAATGCTTCTTTTTGAAGATGCTGGAAGGTGTTGCCAGTGATGGTGACCGAAACATCTCCTGCAACAGTGAGAGCTCCTGTTCCACAGTCCCTAGCATGCTGTTGACGACCATAGCTGTCTCCATGTCAGACTGTCACAGACAAAATCTAATCATTTTGTTGATATTTACAGTATAAGTTCGGCTAGTAGCATATTCATAAAAGACCTCTGCTCCTTAAGGTTAAGCTAGAATGCATGATTATATATATATATTTTTTTACCTTATGTGTGAGGTTGAAGGCATTTTTAGCTAGGCTGTTTATAGAGACGTTAGAGAGACGGAGACCAATCCAGCTGTGTAGTTCTCGCTTACTGAGGGTCACATAGCCTTCAGTTGCAACAGAACCCACCACCTTGTCCACAACTGTGTCTTCGAATACAAGGTATCTCATCTGTGGAGAAAGGAACAAGACTTTTTTTCATTTATTTAAATTTTTCAGCACTATCATATCTTGCACTGTTGATTTTTTTCATACAAAACGCTTTAATAAGGTGATATTATGATTAAAAAAAACTTGTGAGTTCACTGGTCATGAAACATATGGGTTGCCTGATTTTCATAAATTAAGGTTAAACTAAGTGAAACATATAAATGATGTCATATGAAATAACTTCTAAATATTCCAAGTGTTTTTGCAAAATTCCATTAAAATCATGGAGTATCATTAGCAACAATTACAATAGTATCTTGGAATAAATATAGTATTACATATTTCTTAATATACTGATGAAAAATTTAAGATAATCCTAGTGTCAAATAATTAGGAAAAGATGCAGCAAGGAAAATAGTTCAAACTGAAAGCATAAGAGAACGCATTTAATGTGTGGCTTTATAGGTTGGAAGGTACTGTACACACTTAAACAGGAGTTCTGACATACAACAGAAGCAACACTACTCGTTCTCTATTGCAAAAGACAACCGTTATCAGAACTTTGTTTCCCAGGTAATGCTGTTTTGTGGGAAGACGTGTTGACTTCCAGATTTTTTAATAATTCATGCACTCGTAAATTTAAACAAAATTCCAATTGCAAACACAAACATGCACACCTGCACATGCACACACACACATACACACACATACACACACACACACACACACACAACCACACACACACACACACACACACACACACACACACACACACACACACACACCACACACACACCACACACACACACACAATCCTAGACCCCCAAAAAAGAGGGAGGGAAGGAAGAAGAAGAAGAAAAGGAGGAAAAAGAAAATAGGAAAGGAAAAAGGAATTATGCCCGGAACCGCCCAAGGGACAAGAAGGCCTCACCTCTTCAATATTGTGCAGGAAGCCTTCCCTGAGGACTCCGACGCGACTGCCCTTCAGCCGGAAGCCTCCACGAGCTCGGTTCGCGCAGGAACATCGAGGGTATTTCGGGCACGTAGCACTTCACGATGCCCACGCCTGTAGGGGGAGGCGGAGATAAAGGAGGAAGAGGAGGACGATGATAAAGAGGAAGAGGAAGAGGAAGAGATGGTAAAAGAAGAAGAGAAGGTGGTAATTAACGTAGGAATAGAGAAATATATATTCTGTTATGAAGAAGTGAGAGATAATGCCTTAAAAAGTGTGGAGATAAATAGCTGGCAGACAAATCATGTTTTGGTGAACAAGGAAGAAAAAGTTATATATTTTTAATAAATGTGCGTGTGCGTGCGTGTGTGTGTGCGTGTGTGCGTGTGTGCGTGTGTGCGTGTGTGTGTGTGTGTGTGTGTGCGTGTGTGCGTGTGTGTGTATGTGTGTGTGTGTGTATGTGTGTGTGTGTGTGTGTGTGTGTGTGTGTGTGTGTGTGTGTGTGTGTGTGTGTGTGTGTGTGTGTGTGTGTGTGTGTGTGTGTGTGTGTGTGTTCTTCCTTGGTTAGATTAGCGATTCCTTCGATTTCATCACGTTTTTGTGTGCAAGAATTTCAGCCGAAGATAACACTAATAAACAATTTGATTAAAATTATTTCCAACAGCTGTTACAACACTGGTAGATCATCCATCCTCAGTAATAAAATAGAACATTTTCACAAACCATAAAAATAAGCTATCCTCGCTCAAATGTAAGATCAGGTGAATAATTAAGCTTTAAATAAATGTAGAGAAATGTTTAGACATGATATATAAAAAGATGGACGCCGACCTACCGACGAAGGTCTTGTAGGAGCGAATCTCTTGATATTATCATGCTCGGGCGTCGGGTCGAGGGTGAGGTTGCCGCCCCGCCACACGTCCAGGGCGATGGAGGGCGCCTGCTGCCACTCCCTCAGGAAGCTCTCCGTCACGTGGACACTCGACGCGTTCTCGACACGTACGTAGGCGGTCATGAGGGTCTGGTTGCGGAACGGGTAGAGCTCGTCCGTCAGGAGCACGTCCTGCCAGGTGGAGGGAGAGGTCTTATTACAGCTCCTTCGTCAGGTAGGTTTTCTTAGAGATAGGAAAGGAAGAACCGTATTCGTGTTGACAAATGTGGAAAGGCATGAATGAGAACGAATATTTTCACAATACGAGATGTATTTAACCGGTTTCGA